CAACAATAAATCCAAGCCACAAGATTCTTGTAAAAAGGTATCTATTGGATTTTTAATACAAAATGACTCAAACACAGAAAGAAAAATATACAAGCCAGTTACTCAATTTAAAATAAACAGAAAACAAATCCAACTAACAAATTTCAATTGACATTCCCTGTCTCCAGCCTAGATTAAAAAAACAGGAAACCTCAAACCAATGTTTGTCCCTCTGAAGAAATCTTACTTTTTAAAGAGAAGAAGCAATCCCTGAAATCTGGCAGGTGGTAGCAGAGGCCACGGTTGTTCTGGTAAATGGGGTACAAGTGGTTGCTGGAATATGGCCATTTCCTCCAGCTGCTGGCTGATGCTGGGCATCTGAAGGCGGGTCAGCCTGGACAGCATCTGACTCTGGCTAATTATGTAGCCTGAGCCTCAGGTCACACAGCCTGGGAGCCTTCCATTCCACGTCTTCACTGAATCTCACCCATATACAGCCTCTTGTCACTGGATGCTGACAGGACTGAGGGAAAAAGAACAAGACATAAGACAATGAAGGCTTGGGGATACTTGGGGCTCAAGAGCCCTTTGACAGTTGTGACAAAGAAGAGCAATTGTATTTGCCTTGAATTCTCCTCCTCAACACTACACACAGGAAATTGCAGTCGGGCTTTTCAATCCAAGTCCCCTTTAAACTGTGAGGATGGCTGTACACGGTAAACATGAACAGGCCCCGGAGCTGGGATTACAAGTGCTCAGCCCATCCGGTCAATGTGCGCCTGCTTCTTACAGAAAGCTCTGGAAAAGGGTAGCAGGTTTTCTTCTTTAAACTTAAGGCCTATTACTTGGCTTAGCTAGCTAATCACATTTATTATAATTTTAATCTAAATATTCATAAGCCATTCTTGTCTACAGTCCTTGCTAGTCCAAGAGGCTAAGGCATGGAGAAAACCTGGACTGAGGAGTGACTAGCAGTTTAGCCAGCCTTCCGTGAGGTGAGGAACTGATGTAACCTCACCATCTGGGGCAGCAATTCCAAGACTGACATGAAGACGGCAGCAACCTCCTGAGAAGCATGTGTCTACTCTAGGCTTATTCTTTTTTTTTTTTTAATCAATTAAAAAAAAAAAAAAAGATTTGGGGAGGGGAGGAAAAAAAAAGATTTATTTGGGCTGGAGAGACTGCTCAGAGGTTAAGAGCACTGGCTGTTCTTCCAGAAGGTCCTGAGTTCAATTCCCAGCAACCGCATGGTGGCTCACAACCATCTATAATGAGATCTGGTGCCCTCTTCTGGCGTGCAGGCACACATGCAGGCAGAACACTATATATAATAAATAAAATTTTTTAAAAAAAGATCTATTTACTTATTAATCTTTAAAAAGACTTATTTATTATGTATATAGTGTTCTGCCTGCATGTATACTTGAACACCAGAAGAGGGTGCCAGATCTTACTATAGATGGTTGTGAGCTACCATGTGGTTGCTGGGAGTTGAACTCAGGACCTTTGGAAGAATAGATGATGCTCTTAACCACTGAGCCATCTCTCTAGGCCCCCTAGGCTCATTCTTAAAGCCCCACTTAAATCTAGAGCAAACTTTTCCACAATAAACTGCAACACTGCCTCATACTGACTCCCTGAGGTCCCTTCCTGTGGTTTAAATGTTGGCTGACATCTGAAGAGCCTAGTACTTGGGATGCTGAGGTAGGAGGATTACCTCAAGTGTGAGGCCAGCATGAGATAATAAACCAAGGCTACATAGTAAGACCTCAGGAGAAGGACAAAAAGACTTTTTAAGTTTCGCCGGGCAGTGGTGACACATGCCTTTAATCCCAGCATTCAGGAGGCAGATCTCTGAGTTTGAGGCCAGCATGGTTTACCGAGTCAATTTTAGGAGAGCCAGAGCTACACAGAGAAACCCTCTCTTGAAAAGCCAAAACAAAACAAAGAAAATAACACAAACAAAATGTCCAGCTTCATCTGAGTATTCACATAAACAGCAACATCTAGGCTGCTACAGCACTGGTGTCCCCTTTATGCTGACAACTGTCTTCTCTTATGGTCATTGGCTCCCCATATCCCCCCAAAAACCCACACCAAAAACCTCTCAAAACCCACGTGGTAGCGTCGATTCACATAACTGAGCCCTGCCTAAGGCCCCGGTGAGAGGTCACTTTCCCATCTGGAGCAATCAGGCAGACATGGACTTACTGATGGGCTCGTCAGGGTGGAAAGCCACTTCATTGATGGAGCCGGCATGACCAGGCAGCTTATACAGGATCCTTCTGCTCGTGGTATCCCACACATACACAAACCTGCAAGGTGTCACAACAAACAACTGAAGATCCCTTGGAAGAGGGTTAGGGTACTTGAGCCTTGAAGTGAAATGAAATGTTTGCTTCCTGAACTATGCTCTGGGTTTAGAAACCAGGTCTATACCAAGAGAAATAGAGAATATCTGGTGGCTTAAAACCAACAAAATTGATTATGTACAAAATTTACAAAATTCTAAAATTAGAGAGAGATCATACCTGCAATCCCATCACTGGGAAGGGGGAGGCCAAGAGGACTGTGGGTTTGAGACCAACCTAGGACACTTTGTAAGATGTTCTAAATCCCTCTACCCTTTAAGCAAATAAACAAGGTTTTTTTTAAAAAATTATATACTTATGCTCTCACAGTCTAGGCTCTTGAGTATTTGGATAAAAGTTCTGGAGTAGTTGAGTAATTGGCACATGCCTATAAACCTAGCACTTGGAAGGAGCAGGCTGGAAGACAAGAAATTCAAAGCTGTCCTTGGCTACACAGTGAATTTGAGGCCACCCTGGGCTACGTGAGACCCTATTCCCTAAACTCAACTATTCTAGACAAGAGGCAGAACCCCAGCTATCTCTACCTCTTAGCTGGTGTTCATGGTCCCTGGGCTGCCCCTTTCTGACATGCAGAAACCATCATCACCAAAGGCAGAGTGGAAGACTGCCAGCACAGCTGGGGCAAGCTCAGAGCGGTGATACTGGCTAAGCGATCGGCCAACTGCTGCTTTCTTTTGTTATACTAATAAAGAAAAAAGATTTTATAGCTTTTTGAGAAAAGTGAGAATATATGCAGAGTGTCTGGCACAAAGAATTAATGAGTATATTATGAGTTATTATGAGTATATGTGCTAGAAAGCCGGAACCCTATGAAGCCAGCAGGCTGACCTGAATCCTCTTGGCCCTGCCAGGCCAGTGTCTTTAATAGGGCTGTAGAGGGTTAGAGTGCACGTGAGAAAGTGACCTGTGAGCAGAAAGGGGAAATCCGCCAGACGCAGGCTCAGCTTGAAAGTGGTTTTCTGAGTTGGATATTATCTCTCAAGCACACAGGAGCCAGAAGAAACCCAGATCTCCAAGGGTTTACTTCAAGGTCTCACTCTTCATGGCTGTCAATTACATGCTAAATTTAGAGGGGTTCCTTGTCCTCTCCACACTTGGGCATGTCACCATTTGGTAGAAACCAGGCTACTTACATAAGAGAGCTGCTTGCTGACTTTAGGCTAACTGTCAGGGTGGCCTGTGGAATCTGGCCAAACCCAGTAGAGGAGACAGGCTTTCCTTCTGACCAAGCCCTGCATACACATGTAAGGAGTGGTATGGAGGAAGAGGGGTGGGAGGGCTCTTTAAATCAGAAAATGTGCACTGGGCATGCTGGCCCAGGCCTTTAATTCTAGTATTTGGAGGCAGAGGCAGGCATCTCTCCCTGAGTTCAAAGCCAGCTTGGTCTGCACAGCAAGTTTGAGGACAGCCAAGACTACATGGTGAAACCCTGTCTCAAAAAACACAAAGAAACCAAAAAATCAGAACATGCGCATGTTGGGGAAAAAACTGTTCTTCTCAGAAAGAAAGCTTATGCAAATATAATTTTAAAAAGATACAATTAGGGGTTGGTGAGTTGGCTCAGTGATTAAGGACACTGGCTGCTCTTCTAGAGGACCAGGGTTTGATTCACAGCACCTACATGATATCTCAAAACCACCTGTAGTTTCAGGAGTCAAGGAATTCAACATTCTCTTCTGGCTTCCACAGGCACTAGACATGCCAGTGGTGCACAGCCATTGATGAAGTCAAGACATCCATAAAGGGTTTAAAAAAAAGGATGTTTTTGTTTTTTGGGGACAACTTCTCTGTGTAGCCTTGGCTGGCCTGGAACTTGCTTTGTATACCAGGCCGGCCTCAAACTCAGAAATCTGCTTGCCTCTGCCTCTTGAGTGTTGGGATTAAAGATGTGTGCTTTCATTGCCTGGCTAGATAAAATTTTTAAAAATCAAAGTAGATAAATAAATCTAAAACAATTTAAAAATATATAATTATATAGGAAAGACATACTATCTCTACTGAAAATGGCATAAAATAAAAATACTTAGTATGTTAGTATACTCTGTGAGAATGCAAATTCTTTTGTGTGTATGTGTATGTGTTTTTTTTTTTTTTTTTTTTTTTTGTTTAAAAAAAAAAAAACAGTCTTGGGGCTGGAGAGATGGCTCAGAGGTTAAGAGCACTGGCTATTCAATCCAGTGAACTGGCTCTTCTTCCAAAGGTCCTAAGTTCAATTCCCAGCAACCAAATACATGGTGGCTCATAACCATCTATAATGAGATCTGGTGCCCTCTTCTGGCCTGTAGGCACTCATGCAGACAGAATACTGCATAAATAAGAAATCTTAAAAAAACAAAAACAAAAACAAACAATCTTGGGCTGGGCATGGTGGTGCAAGCCTGTAATCCCAGCACTAAGGGAGGCAGAGCCACACAGATGGATTTGAGCTGGAGAACAGCCTGGTCTACAAGGCAAGTCCAGGACAGCCAGGTCTATTGCACAGAGAAACTGTGTTTCAAAAAACCAAAACCAAAAGTCTTACTACACACTCCAGGCTGGCCTCAACCTCTGTCCCTTGTTTCAGTCTTCTGAGTGTGGGGCACAGGCAGGCACCATGCCTGCCTCACTGGTCTATTTATTAAGGTGTTTTTTTTTTTTTTTTTTTTTTTTTAATGCGCCCTACGTATGAAACAGCTTTGGCCACCAAGTTGGGAATCAAGATAGGATGAACAAAGGCCTGCCATCCGCTCTGTCCCTGGCTGATACAAGAACACTACCACCAATGAGATGTCTTTTTGCCCATTGCCAGGGGATGGGGTTGTTGCTGTTTTTTTTTTTTTTTTTTTTTTTTTTAAGTTTCTTAATAATGAATAGCTCTTAGGTTCTTCACGGTAGCTTTCTAAAGCACAGAGGCTCATTTTCCCTAAGTATCCATTTGCCCCCAAACACCCTGAATACTTGTCTAGCTTTCTTGGCACTGAACTTGGAGAAAAAAAAAGTTCTTAAAAATTTTCAAGCATAACAGCCAGCGTAGCATGCCCTCGATCCCAGCACTCAGGAAGGCAGAGGCAGGCAGAAGGACCTCTGTGAGTTTAAGGTCAGCCTGGTCTACAAAGAGAGTCTAGGAGAGCCAAGGCTACACAGAGAAAAAAACCTTGCCTTGAAAAACCAAAGAAAAAATTCAAGCATAAGCATAAGTACATTTCTTTAATCCCAGTACTCAGAGTGGCAGGAGACAGAAGCTGGTGGATCTCTGTGAGTTCTAGGCTGGCCTGGTCAACAGAGCAAGTTTCAGGACAGCCAGAACCACATAAGACTTTGTCTTGAAAAAACAAAACCAAAAAAGTTTCCAAGCATGTCCCCACAGGGAACCCTGAAGAGTGCTAAAAGCTCTGAGCTAGGGAAGAACCCCACTTACAGGCCTCTTATGAGCCTCCTCTGTCCTGGGCACCCAAAATCCCCACTCCACCTCATTCCCCCTCAAGCACAGACCACCACAGTCACCAACACTGACAGTCTCTGATAGGTGAATTCTCTCCCCTCTGATCTCATTCACAACCGATCTAAGTTCACAGTTAAGAAAGACTTGGTCTATGACTCAGCAGAGAGGGAAGATACCCAGTTCACTCACTCAGCAATGTTGGCACTTCCCACAGCCCAGATCTGGCTCTGAAACATCTTACCAAATGTTGGGTAGACACCAGGGTGGAACTGTTATCTCTGACCTAGGAATTCATTCTTGAAATAGTTAGCAAGCGCTCATGATTCAAGTACCAACTAGCAGTACCCTGGGTTTACTGAGAAGGTCCAGACAACCCGACTGCTGAGAGTAAGTCACAGGGATGTCCCAATGTTTGTCTACATGTAGGAGGGAGGGGGAAATTCCTAATAAAAGTAAGATCTATGAAGTGAAGAGCAATGTGTTATGTTAAAGAGACAAAGGATAGCGTGAGTGAGCTAGGTAAAGTTCACAAATAGAACAGAGTGGTCACTGGGAGGATACAGTCTGGAGACCCGGAGGGGAGAATGCAGGACTAGGATGGCTGGAGAGGAGAGCCTCAAGTGTCTCGAATGAAGTGAAGCATGGCAGAAGACTGAGAGACTAGAAAGACTATGAGTCTCCAACAGACACAAAGACACTGTTGACTCTCTAGGTCTAAAAACAAGCGGAGACAGAAAACTCTGTTTGTCCAACATGGGTTTTAAGCCTTTATCTTCACATGGCTTTATCTGAGAGCCCCTTAGTCCCATGGGTACCTCTGGTGTCATCACGTTCATGCATTAACTGTGTGACTTGCATAGCCATGTCATTCTCCACCTTACACCCAGGAACCCTTACCTGTCCGCTGAGCCAGCTGCTATCTTGCTTCCATCAGGTGACCAAGAACATCTCAGGAGGTTCTGTAATGAACAGGAATCGCTGGACAGTTAATGCGCCAAACTCTAATTGCTGAGCTAGCAGTCAACTGACTTTACATTTCCTACTAGGTTTTGCTTATCTCCCAGAATGATCATCAGCTATTATATTCCTGCTCAAAACAGCATGCTCTGTAATGTATTTATCTTTCTTTAAATATTTATTCATCTTATTCTAAGTATATTATTCTAGGTGTTTTATCTGCAAGTATGTTTGGGCACAACATGCGTGCCTGGTGACTGAGGAAAGCAACTGAGGGCATCACATCCCCGAGGACTGAGTTATAGACTGAGAGCTGCCATGGTTGCCAGGAATCAAACCCTGGGCCTCTGTAAGAGCAGCCAGTGCTCCTAACCGCTGAGGCATCTCTCCAGCCTGCTTTGTAATTTTATACTACATAAAAGCTAGACGCATGCAGAAATGCTTAACCTACAGTTATTAAGAACAGACCTGGCAACAAAAATGTGTTCTGCCTTTAAATGAGGCTCCCTTAGCTCCACTTATCTTGATCCTCATTAAAAATACTTAAAAATTTCATCTTGTTTCTTATGTTTTTATTCTTCTTTGCTGTTTATCCTGAAGAGGGAAAAAACCCAAGCAAACCTAACAGAAAAAAGATTTATTTATAAGGTAAAGCAACCTCCGTGAACACACAAGAGGAAACCACTGACCTCTCTCAGCAAACTCTATGACAGAAAAGGAGCTGACCTGGATACCCAAGGTCAGAAAGCTCTGAACTTGGGCCAACGTGACACAAGGGGAACGGATGTGAACTCAGGGCTCTAACAGCTGGTATGTGGGTAGAAGCAATGGGAACCCGGGCCATAGACAGTGACTGACAGGGTTGAGATTCCCAAGGAATACAAAGGCCAGGAATGCCGTAGGTACTGTATGAACGAGGGTGGCCCCAGGGCTGGCTCTCTATGTGGCTGCCATCTCCAACATGCTGTGCTAGTTTTCTTTCCAACTAGAAGAGCTGTGGGCCAGGCACGGGGCATCCTCCTGTAGTCGAGCACATGGAGGCTGAGACGGGATTGAGGTTGCGGTGATGAAGAAAGGTTATGAGGCTTCACTCATTCTTAAGTGGTCAACAACTCTCCATCCTTAGCATCACTTTAAATGTTTCTTCAGATCAAATGCAAAGTAAAACCACTCACCTTTTCAAAGTTGTGCACATTTCCTTGAAATATCTTTACACATCTCTCTTTGGGAGCAAATGGCCGCACATCCCAGACACGAACTACAAAGTAAATTCAAACCAGTCAAGCAACAAGTACGAACAGCAGCTTCCATGTCAGTAACAAATATTACAACAATGCTAATTTCGAAGGCTCTTTCATCTACACTAAAGCTGGCCACTATGACCATCCTTCTCATTAAGCTAAGGACACAGAGGAGGAAAGCTAAGGAAGTAGGAAGGACAGATGAAAACCAGTTGCGGGTTTGCACAGAATGGTTAGATCTCTCTATCAGTCCTCATACATGTTATCCAAAATCAAAAAACATTTTCCAAATGATTTCTCCTCCAATTTAGAGTCATATCCAGCAAAGGTTCAATATGACAACCATTTTTTTTTAAATTAAAAGAAATATTCTGGGGGCTGGAGAGATGGCTAATTGGTTAAGAGCACTTGTTGCTCTTGCAGAGGACCTGGGTCCAGTTCCTAGCACCCACGTGGTAGATAGCTCACAACCAACCTGTAACTCTAGTTCCAGGAGATCCAATGTCCACCTCTGACCTCTGAGGACACCAGGCACATTCACGGTGCACATACACATATGTAGGCAAACAGTGATATACAGTAAATAAAAAGAATTTTGGGTATAAAATGTGAGTGCATGCTTGAGTCTACATTCATGTGTGTAGATACCAGAGGCTGTCCTCTTTCTCAATTGTCCCCTCCCCATTTTGTAGCCCTCCCCGGCCTGGAACTCTATGTCAGAGGTTTGCAACCTGTGGGTCTTGACCCTCTTGATAAACTCTATCTCCAAAACTATTTACATTATAATTCACAACAGTAACACAACTGCAGTTATGAAGTAGCAACAAAAATAATTTTATGGTTGGGGCTTACCACAGCATGAGGAACTGTACTAAAGGGTGTAACATTAGGAAGACTGAGACCCATTGATCAGTCAGGCTAAACTTTACCTCATAGATATCGCCCTGTCTCTGCTTCCCAAGTGCTGGGTTTAAAGCATGAAGCACTATTCTCAGCTTCTACTTTATTTTTTGAAACGTGGTTCACTGAGCTTAGAACTCATCGACTTGCTGGACTGGCTGGCCAGTGGCCTCCAGGGGTCCCCTACAGTCCAGTGCTGGGGTTACAGATGTCTGGGTTTTACACAGGTGCTGGGAACTGAACTGAGGTCCTCATGTTTGAACAGAAGGCACGTTTTTGACTGAGTCATCTCCCCAGCCTTCATGTGACAATCTAAATGTCACTGACTGCTGTGATGACACCTCTGTAAAACCCAACTTAACCTTTCCTTTTACTTGATGGGCACACTGACAGTCTAAACTTGAAGAGGGTCAACTACAGCATAATGAGAGTTAGGACACATCATACCGTCCCCATCTCCAAGACACATGAACACTATCTCCCACCCCCAGTTGCTGAGGACTTAATCCAGGGCCTCACATACACCAGGTGAATGCTCTACCATACATTCTTGTCTCAGAAAACAAGAACTCTAAATCTAATTTTGTATCTTATATAGATATATGTGTAATGCCAGGTCAAGTGAGACTGTGTCTTGGCTCCCTGCTCTGAAAAAGGAAGAAAAACAACAACAAAACATCAGCAGTTTTTTTTTTTTTTTTTTTTTTTTTTTGATACAGTCTTACGTAGCTCAGGACAACCTTGACTGTGCAGTTGAGGTTAACTTAAAAATAATCCAATTAAAACAAAATCCAATTTCAAGGATAATCACAACAAACAGTTCTTATTATTTTAAAAGCTATTTAGGGAAACTTCGTGTTCCTTACTTTCAGAATGCTAGACTGGTCTATGGTAAATCCACTGCGATTAGGACACACATATAATCATCCACTGTAAAGAGCACTTCAAGCCATTATACAGCAAGGTCAGCTACATGAAAGTCTGCTACCGATATGAGTATAAAATCAAGAAGTAAAGATGCAAATTTATCCAACAAACATTTATTGAGCATCTGTTACATGCCAAGCACCAATTTTGTTACAAAATGTCAGCAAGTTGTGTTTTAGTTCCCACCAAGGGCATTCCAAACTCACCACTGTCCACTTTTCTACAATAAACCCACCTACCTTACTCTGTAACTCAAAAACAAGCAAAGAGAAAGGTTAAGAGAATGTGCTTGTGAATCCAGAAAGCTGAGATGTTTTCCTGAGGACTGTCTCATACCAGTGCTGCTG